GGAAATTGGACGTGTCATACGTCAAGCCTCTGGTTTAGGATGCAAAAACCAAAATGGGTTATCGAAACGTTAACACGATCGTGCGCGTACGGGATGAAAAAAGTACGCGAGCATCTCGGTAACTAAATTTATTCGCTGTGAATGTTATCAAATATACTATACTAATATAATACTTAACGTACCTTAACGTTGTTTACCCGCCGTCCGACTGCTCATAGCGGTGAATTAAAGCACTAATCTATACAATACGTTCTAAAACGAATTGAGCAGATTAGTGTTAATTTATAATAACAATAATAATAATAATTATTATTATTATTATATGGTCGTGTAATATCTAGTAAAGTTAAACACATGTACCTGCTACGCATTCCTCTACGTTTCGTCTGGTGTTTAGCCAGTTCAACAACATAACTCGTGTATATACTGTGATACTGCAGCGGTGCTGTTGTATATACACTTGTATGCGTGCGTGCAACATGTCTTCATAAAATATTACGCTTTGCCACGGCACAATGCGCAGTAAACCCGTTGTCATTTTTCCACCGAGGTCAGTTGCATTTTCTCGGCTCATAACTCAGCAGATTACCTCCACTCGCCGGATGCGCGTATTTTAAAAACATACATCGATGATGATGGTATAGATATTATAATACCGACGGACTTGAGGGAAAATAACAAAAAGGGGAAAAAATGCGAAAAAATTAAATTGCAGCGATTAAGAAGATAGAAAACAACGCACACATACATACGTACAACCAGTTGCTAATTTTATAACCACAACGGTTATATATTATTATGTATAGGTATACTGTTAGTTCACGAATGTAAATATAGCACACGCATACATTTGCGAATGAACCTTAGGTACACTTATATGTATTTGTGTGTGTGTGTGTGTAAGTATATCAAACAGAAAAAAAGCGTTACATGCGTATAGCGAATAATTGTGAGAAAGTAAGCGCGTATACAATTCTCACCAGTGGTGACCTCGATCGAAAATAAAATTTGTGACGTTGAATTGTTTTTTAAAAATTATTTTTTGAAATTCATACCTTATAAGATACGTGTGACATACAGATATTGAATAAAATCTCGAATAACTTCGAGTAAGGGTCATACTCAATCGCCCAAAAATCAAAACACAATAAATAAAGACATATACAATCACGAATAGTCGACGTTCATAATAATATAATATTATACACAAGACCTTTTCTGAAAGTTTCCGTTGTAGCTCGAACGAATTGAATTAATATCGTTTCTCTTGTAGTTATTTTCTTCGTTGATAGATATTTTATTAAATTTACTCTTATTGTTACGCACATATACCTTTAAGTATGTAAAAAATACGCCTCAATTGCTTACATACCTAGTATATAATACATTACTCGTTTCGTAAACATAATACTTTTAATGCACAACCAATACAAGTACAATTATGTTTATTATTTTCAACTAAAATCTACCGCGTCATAAAAATAAAAATAATACATGTTATCCTCATTCTATAGAGGTACTTTAAACTTAAGTGCGTTGTCGAATTAAACATGCACAATTTTCATCTAGATATCACTCGACTTGTATGATGTTCATATAGATATACCTAAATACCTTGGTTGAATGTTACAGTAAACAATGAAATTGTACGATAGTGGGCGTGTTTGAGTGAAAAAAATTGACAGCTCACGGGGGCACATAAATTATTCACGTATATAAATACGCATTTTCAGGGGTACAGAAGTATAAAATAATATTTATACATTTGTATGTATGCAATATAAACTGAGACGAATTTCGTTATCATGAGGAAGGAGGTCCAATACAAAAACGTGGCACACATATTATACCTACCTATAATATAAGAAGTATAATAAATTGCACATTATTGCCTGTACATTATTATCGTATTAATATGCACTGCCATAAGACGCATAATTAATTCGATCGCGGCTAATTGTATGATAGACGAAACGCAGGCACTGGATTTAGTGATTGAATTAACATATAAATTAGTAATAATTCGTATGGAGCGTATAGGTCACGACGATACAGCAAAACGTGTTTGCGGCGCACACAATGTATAACAATAATAATTTAATATATTAGCGTTCATAAAATTTCGTCGCTATCTCTACTGGCCGATGGTTTGCCCAAAGCTCCGGCAGCAGAACCAAGCGACAGATACTAATATATACCTACCTAAACGCACGATCATATTATAATATTATAATAAATAATAAAAACCGATACGGTCAACGTCAGACTCCGATCCGAATTCGATTTCAATAAAGAATACCACCTACCATTATAATATGATATTATATAACGTTGTATAACAATAACACGCGTGTATATGGCTGTGGGAGGTATGGCGTGTGGTAGTATAATACGTTATCTACTTATCTATCATTATTATATTTCTCCTATAAAAGTCATGCGCATCATTTAGCCGAGGTCTGAAAAAATACTGTTGATTATATATATATAGTACCATACAATTAAGTCCATGTCTAGAAATTTGCGTCTAATATTCTACAAAGATTTCAATTTTCCATTGTTAACACGTTGACTGCCACGGTCGACATGTAGTCGACAACTGTTGTCGGGTTTCCAGAACCGCGGTCGACACGTAGTCGACAAATGTAATGTGTATCTTTATAGGCGTATTTCTTTATCGGTTATTGACGTACAGTTTTGATGTTTATACGTGGTTATTCAGTAGGATCTCGTGATTTCATCGGTATATTTGGATTTTGCGTAGCTATTTTTAGTGGGTATTAATAATAATTATTTTTCCTCGAATGATAACGACGGCGGCAGTGACGGCGATGTCGAATACGCGGCGGTTTAACTGATCAAACGACGGAGATTCACTTGTGTGTCCTTTTACGGTTTAGTAAATGAGAGTAGAAATTTAAGAGTGAAAATCGAGAATTAATCGTATATGGTATGTCAGAAAAAAAAATCGTCTGCATTGTGCAATCTTAAAAGTGGTTGGTTATTTTCAAGACCTTAAAAAATGTCTGACTCAGTACAGAGTACAATCTTGTACGACCAATAAACCATGCAATCGACGATATAGTGATAATACAGTATACACTATAAGTATTAAGCAGTATAGGTGAATCACCGAAGCCGGTTAGGTTTTCATCAGACCAGTATCCGACCACCCCACCATACTGTACCCGATTTTGGCTTTTGTGTGCGGAGGGTTGAATTTCCGAACTTGCCAAAATAAAACCTTGTCATAAATAATCGAACAAACCACTAGACGATTACCGGACCGAATTTTCGACATCAATGATATTATTTACGTATATTTTATTTTCATATTATATCGTAACGCATCTCTCTCTCTCTCTCTCTCTCTCTCTCTGTTTATCTCGTTATTAAAATCGTCACGCGTCCTATTATCGTTGCGGATTTAATATAATACGTAAGATAATAATATATACAAGGCACAGAGACCGCGATAATATTTCATCGTCTATCGGTAAATAACCGCCACGAGCGCGTGCGGGGCTGGACGGTTTCTCTGGTTTAATTATTAACCCTTTTATTTATATATATATATGTATAAATTTTTTGTGGGAAAAGGGAGCGCACGTTCGTGATTAATAGCGTCGTACTGGGATGCCGACCGCGGGCCGCCTTATCTCCGAACCACTGCCACCGAGATTAAGTCATCCGACTCGCACCAGCCGTTCATCATCGTGTGCATACGTTACCATTATAATTCGGCACTATACCAGTGTTCGGCACATTTCCGGTCGTTTACTGAATTGTTCGCGATTTTCCTTGTATTATACTGTTACTTTGTCGTACATATAAGATACGGAGTATCTCACCCTAAATGGTTATTACATCGATGATTTTTGTATGAAATTATATTCAAGGGTAAAATAATATATATATATTGTACGGATATCCGGAGTTTCCATATGCATCAAATATAATAATATGACATTCGTTTTTGTATTTTAACCAACCTACAGTGTTTCGTACGAAGTAACATTGTCACAAATATGAATATACAACACTAGATAATAAGGTTTACGGTATGTTTGTATTAAACCGATGACCGGAACTTTTCGATAAGGAATAATATACATAACGTCATTATTGTATCATGTTTAACACGTTTGCGGGTATAAAATGTGATCGAATCGCAACGATTACTATAATCTTTGTATAACAATATTACATAAAGCGATGACTTGTAGGTATTAGTGACGGATTTACACAATTTTAACTTTTAGTAAACTTGTTCATACTAATACTAGCCGATTTTTCTTTTCGTTTGTAACTTTTTTTCCAGCAAGTTGTTGTGTTAGAAAACATTAACTTTAATTCCTCAAAATAGTTAAATATTCACTAGAAACGATAAGAATACGATATTTTATGAATAATAATATTTGAATTATGCTCTTAAACTATGTAAATCACCACCTTGGGTTTTTAACGGTTTATAAAATGTAACAAAATCATAAAGATTGTATGTATATATAATACAATACAAAGGTTTTATTGTACGGTGTAATAAATTAGGCATAAAAAAACATAATGTTAATACGTTTACTAACGTTTTATAAAGCGTATATGGGGTGCATTACTTCGCAGTGAGAATATAAAGTAAATGTCTCTATTATTGTCGAATAATTAAATACACGATGACTTTATGTGTGTTCTCTGGTCGGGTGTTTTCGATATTATAATTTAAAAAAAAAAACTCTCATAGTAATAGTTATAGACCTATATGTATGTATTATTTTTAAAAACGTTATTTACATTTTTGGTATTTCACAACTGGCTTACAACTATTAAAAATATCTTAAATCAAAATAAGCCCCATCGGACGTGGGCTGCACTTTTGTTTGTTAGACGTAATATTCGATATCACTTTAACGTTTTAAGACGGTTTTGAGCCAAACCGATAAGACTATGACGCTAGCTTAGTGCGAAAATCGTCCATACGATTGCCCAGCCCACACACACGTTTAAGAATAACTCAGAAATTTGATCTTGTCCATCAGATAAAATAGCGTTTCGGTGGCCTTGAAGTCTACGCCGGAAGTTTCACGACCGACCAGCGTCAACAAGTCGGGCGCGTACTGCTGACCGGCCTCGGTGACATCAGATGGCTTCTCCAGCGGTTCCTCGGAGAACACCTGGCTGACCTCGGTGCACTTGAGCAGCACAGCCCGTTCCGGCGTCACCATAACCATCTTGTACGGGGCGACGCTGGCCTGTCCACTGGTCGTCGACGGTGTCTCGATGCCGCCGTCCGCCTCGACGGCGGGTTGCGTCTCCTTCATCTGCATCACCATGCGGTCGAAGGGCGCGTGCACGTTCCACCGGGACGCGGCGAATTGGTGCGTCCCGCTGAGCACGGCCATGCAACGGTATGCGTGTCGCTCGGCCACCGCGTGTTTGGGCGGTCGGCGGCCGTCCACGTAGTGCCGAGCGTCCGGTTCCGGAAACAAGTTGACGCCGCCGCGACGCAGTAACCGGATCAACTTGTCCGGCCGATGGTACACGCCGATCATCTCCTGCAGCGCCACCGTTGTGGCGTTCTGCAGTTGCACCATGGCGGCTTGGTCTTCGCGCACCGCGAACTCTACCAGCACGGTGGCTGCGGTCACCGACAGGATGACGCCGGCGTCTTCACCACTACCTTCCGGCCGTATCTCCCACGACTGAAACGGGAAGTTCGTGTACCGGTTGACGGCCAGCCCGAACGAACCCATCCGGCCAGCCCGAAACGATACCATTTGCTTCTCCTCGTTGAATCTACGGACAGCAATCGTAACGTCACAGCGAGTCGGTGCAACGCACATGGGGTGAAGGACGAAGAGCCAGTGGTGTGTCGCAAGACATTGTTATGGCGAGAGACAGGCGCCCGAGTGAAATTTTATAGTACTTTTGAAGTTAAACTAAAGGCATGAGCGTAGTAGAATCGATTTTTACCTGTGAGGAAGTCGTAAACGAGGATAAAATAGATTAGGCGCCCTGTCTACTGCAGTCGAGCGGGAGGCTTGAGAGATTCGATAGACGACGGGATGAATTTAACGTCTACGTACGATTGTCCATTATTATTCGACTTCGATGCACACGTATATGACGTCACACAAGTTACGTGTAACAGTGTTACGGTAAAGTCTAAGCCAGGGATACGGTTCTCTGTGATTTTATGTGCATTTTATTTATTTAGTAGGAAATATTTATGAGTGTTTGCAAAGAAACGTGTTCGATACGGACCATTGGAGAAAATTAGATTGTAAAGAAATTAATGTACGACGGTTGTTTTGGAAAATGTGAAGATTAAAATTTCAACTTTATTTTTTATTTAAAACCTAGTACTAATTATATAGTATTAAATTTATTGATATATAATATTTATTTTTTTATAATTGTATGAATTTAGTATGTAATATAAATTGTATTTTTATATATATGATACGATTTTTAATACTCTAAATTTCCATAGTGTTTTTTTTTTCAATGAGATGCAGTATTTTTTCGATCATCAATTAAATATATTAAAATTAAGACAAAATCTTTTTAATATTGTATTAAGTTTTATTTTATAATTAATTTAATAAAATATATTACTATTGAGTATTAAAAATATAATATAAGTGCTGAAGTAGTGATCGAATTTAAGAACAACTAAATTAAGATAGTTTAGATTTGAGACACCTAAATGTTAACATAACTACTATAATTTACAAGATTGACATACTAGACGCGCCGTGTAAACAAAATATTGAATTGTGATTTATGTTTTTATTTATAAATTGTTCTCTATATGATCGTGATTTATAGTAATACATCTATATGGGTAGGAAATTATTATTCTACAATATTACCTGATATCGTATATGAATTCAGTTGTCCAATTTTTTTTGTCTTCGTTCCACATTGCTGGTTTGGGATTTTCAAACCAAAGCACATTTTCCGGCAACTTGATATTTATCAGCGCAAGTTTCTTAAGTGCTTCTTGGTTTTGTTTTTTTACATCAGTTTCTTCGTCTTCAGACGATGTGGATGAAAAACCCATGGATAATTGTATCGGTTCGTATTTTTCATGATAATCGATGGGTTGAAGTGCAGTGGGTCCGACAATTAACACGCCTACTGATCCGTCTTCGAATTCAACGGGCTGCATAGGAAGCTTCCACATTTCCACGTTAAATGCTCCGCCAATAATCCAATATCTAAAAGTTATATATTTTAAGATGTTTTGTATGTAATTTGTTTATACAATATTTTATTGAGTGTCAAACAGCGATTGAATTTTAAATTAACAATAATTTAAAGTTAATAGGACAACAAAAATAAATAATCAAGTCTTCATTTAATAGTTTTAACTGATAATAGATGAAATTTGTACCTTCTAGGATTGAGCTCATTGGGTTTCTCCGAGTATTTTAATGAATTAGAAATATCTTCTATCTGTTCCAATTGCCTCTTTTCTATTTCCTGACTTGGAGTATTTCCGATATCAATTTTATTATGAATTGGCTTCGTGGTTTCAGGTTCTACTAGTTTCTGAAGTTCGTCTTTTATATCGCCTTTATCATCTTGATGATTTTCTCGTTCTTTATCTTCATTATCTACATAATTGGTTGTTGAACAAACACGAGTAGAAGGATCATTTTTTTCAAGTTCATCCAAATATGTTATAAGATCTTCTGGATAACTATTTCGATCTACCTCCGCAAACGCCTTAAGTTTTTCTTCCATTTTTTCCATCCACAATTTTTTACTTAATCGTTCCTTCTTTTCATTAATTAACTGTACTATCTGGTTCTGTTCTTTCCATACATCTTCAGAGTACTGCCACAGATCTCGGGTATCCATTTCAAATGATTTTGAGACATCAAATTCAGCCATTCTATCAGTAAAAGGGTCCCAGCGTAGCCATAAAGCCATTACTGCCATGTACTGTTGTGATAGTTGTGGTGGAACATCGACCATGACAAGACATTCGGGGAAGTCACATTTTGGTGGAGGTCGGTCGTCAGTCAACAACCTGGGTCTATGGCACACCACGTGTAAGCCAACAGCAAATGCTTCGCACGAGTTTCGATATGCAACAGTTTCTAAATCTATAGGATCCATTCTGCGATCGTAATCACTCAACAGGTGGTAACTAATTCCATACACGATTTCTACCAGTAGCCTTCCTAAATTATCTCTGGCTTCTCGGAAACATTGTAATTTAAACTGATCTAGAACAAACGAATTGTTGATTATGCTCATAGTAAATCTCTCTATAGCAATATTTTTATCTTAATTTTATTATTAAATATGTTATACATACATTTTTCATATTTTTAAATTTGTATTTGTATAGAAATGTATACACTAATAATCTTAGATGTAGGTAACTAAAAAATAATGTTTTGAGTAAACCACACATTTTTCTAAAATATAAGTATCTAAAAATGTTTTCTCTTTGTGTTTAAAAATTAATCAGAAAGCATAATTTTGTCGCTTAAATACTCCTTAGTTCTCTACAGCATCTCACGAACAAGAATAATATACAAATTATTTTCATAATGTGTGAATAATAAAAATGTATTTTTATCCTGTACATTTTTTCAATAGACGATCTAGTTGCATAACAGTTTTATTTATGATTAAATTAAAGTAATGTATTCATTGTCTGCCATTCACCATAAACTTATAATATTTATATTTTTTCACATATAGGTCCGCATTTTTTTTATAAATATTCCTATAAGAATATACTCCGTATATTATCTTACAAGCTCCAATATACTCCTGTTCATATGTTATTATATTTTACATATAATATGATAATTATTTTTTTACATTAAAATTTTCTTTTTCTTTGGTTGCTAGGTATATACTAACATTAAAATAAAAAGAATAATTTGATAATGTTGTCACCTAATGAATATTTGATGCAGATAGAGATAATAAAATATTTTCGAAAAATCAAATATTTCCATGAAAATTCTTACATCCCATACCCATTTATAAAGTTATACATATATTATCTCACTGAAATCTAACGGTAAATCCACGATGTCGTCTACTGCGTCCATAATTTTGAATATTTCTAAACATTTTTCCACATATGAGTTTTTATCGTCACAAGTATGAAAAACTTGTCTCTCAACAAACAGATACGTATTCAGTTCCTGCACAACTTGAGGATTGGGAGTGCCGTCACATCGTATCCAATGCTCCCAATCTAATTGTTCACGATACTTTCGGTCGTGTTCATATTTTTTTCGTGACAATTCCGTTAACATGGCACAAATGGGTTTTAATCGTACTTCACGGAGCTGTAATAAATATTTTATCTAAAATTAAACTGAATAAATAGGTACATTAATTTATACAATCAGTATCAAATAATTATTTATATAATTAAGAACTAATTTAAAAAAAGTAACATTTCTATAAAAACTTAAGCATTCAGTAGCTGATGGTACTGAATTTAAATTTAAATTATTCAAAAGAAATGTATACATCATAGTTATTTGGTTACTTCATACCAATCATTTTTAAAATATATAATTTTACTTGTATAATACATCACAACAAAAAAAGAGATAAAGTATCTTTCTATCCTATTATCATATAGTTAGTTCTTATAAAAAAATAAATAAATAAATAATAATGATAACACAGTAACACTTATAATTACTATTGAATTAACTTTAAAAGTTAACATGCATTTATTTAAATTTATTTGTGTAAACCGCTTTTGTATTTATGTAATATTAATAATAGTTTTTACTAACTTCAGAATGTATAATTAAAATTAAAATCTTAATTCATATTTATTACAAAAGTCAAAACTACCAAAATCAACTTTTAACCTAATAAAATATATAACTATTGTAACAATATTTGTTTTATCAACTTCAACATGTTAAAATATTAATTTACTTCTTAATTATTTTCTAGGACGAACGATTCTAAACTTTTTCGAACTAATTCATTGTTAGAGCTCTTATGGAATATTAAATAGATTGATTAATACAATTTGTCAGATGTTAATTAAAGTAGGTACAGAAATTAAATTTTTTTAGTATATTTTAAATAATAAAACGTATTGACAATAAATTATATCAAACAATACTTTGTGGATTACTTTTTAATTAGGCACTATCTAGGTACTTGGGATTAAATAATAAATGAAAACAGTCTTATATTTTATTACTTATACTTGTTAATACTAGATTATTAATTATATCTATCTACTATTCATCTAATTTAATATATTATATAACGTATAATTGCAGTTAATTTTATTTTTTACAATGTATATTTTTTATTTTATGTAATATTATAATCATATAATATATATAATAGATAGTATAGTAAATATGGTTTTACTGGAGTACTGCTATAATATGTAATGTATACATATTCTATCATGATATTAAGATAAAGTACTTTAAAAGTTAAAGCGAAGGTTCAAATTTTTTTTTAATTAAAATTAATTAATATCTTAAATAGTTTAAATTATATTTTATTTTAAAAATTTTAAATATAAAAAACCATAATTTATCATAATATGTTAATAAATAAGTACGTATAGTTTATATTTACTATAGTCAAATAACATAATTTATAATATTGTATATAAGAGGAATATTGATTATTTACATAGTACCATAAAGTACAATTTAATAAATTTAAAATGATAAGTAAAAATATTTATATTACGAAAGTAATGTATATTAATTTACCTGATGTTCTAAGACTTTTAACTCTCTGTGTTTCTGTTTTTCTAGTAAAGCTTTTTCTTCTCGTCTGATTTGTTCCACTTGTTTCAAATCTGACTTGGATTTAAAATTTGGGCCACTATTGGGTGTTTTAATTTTTCCATCTAAACGTTTCGCCATATTAAATTTGTAAGTTCTTTTGCTTATATTTTACGAAAAATATATATTTCTATTTTCATTTGTGTATTGATTTAACTTTAAGATATCCGCATAAAACGGTCGCTTGGCAACACGTAGGCAATCGTTTTGTTTTTTTGAAAAATCGAAAAAAAATCGTTTCAACGGTGTATGAGCCCACCGGGAAATCGGGAAATTTTGTACATAGTCTAATCATACATGATTCTTAAAAATATTTTAAAATAAAAATAAAAATGTCTTTTCGCTTATACTTTGAACTCAAAAAACGTAGACAATATGATAATAAAGTAAACAACCAAAAAGAGTTGAATAAAATGTAACGTTTTGAATTTTTTTTATTGTATCCTTATTTCATCCAAACATGTTCTAATTCATAAAATATGTAATAAAAGTTATAAATATAAATAATAATTTTTAACGAAGTACTAAACAATTAGCCAGATTTCGTTTAAACGGATGAGAAAAGTAAAATAATAGAAATTGTTGAAAAATAAATTGTACAACAGTTAAAACTCTATATATTATAATTTTAAACCGAAGTAGGTACTTTAATGTACAATTGGTTATATAATATAGCTTGTATTTTATATATTTTCTTATTCTTTTGTTTTTTTTTTATATTATAGTGCACTTTTTTATAATTATAATGTATGTTTATATACGAACATATACTCGAAGAAAATTTATAGTGACATAAATGTAAAACAGTTTAAATTGTACAATTTAATAAAACAAAATATTCCAATATTGTCAATATTGCTGTACTTGTTATCAACATTGATAAATTTGTAGAATATCACTGAAATGTTCTAAAGGTGGTTGATTGAACAATATATATTTTTTTTTAACTATAACATTATTAGAATGTGCCGATTTTATGTGGAATAGATTTTTTGAGGGGCCGACTTAAACCAGTTAATTAATTGTACACACTTGAACATGTCGGTTATACGCGTTCTAGAAATTATGATGGTCAAAATTATAAAGTTTAATTTTACTTTCTTAAAAAGTACTGACGTGTTTCATTTGACAATCATAATCTTTCAACATACCTATAATAAACACATTAATATTGTAAATGACAAATATCTACGGAGGACTATACATGGCTCATTACTCAATATTATATAACGCGTGGTTATTGCTACGTCTAGATGTAGTGGTTATAATGTAGGTACATAAAACCAATATGGCAATATACATACAATTGTTATTCTTATTCACTCGTATCAACCCTTTTCCGGACAAAACAAAAAAAAAAAAAAAACGGTGTGAAACAATCCGTTACCACATCTAAAAAAAAAACTCATAGTCGCACGACAAATCTGCACAGGGATACGATCCCGAAAGGTAAACACACAAAATATTATTATAAAATATTTTTCACGCCTCCCGCGCCGATAGTTTGCCCTCCCGCACCCCACGATCAGCCGTCGCTATGTCGTTATTACAATATCATCGTAACCATTTGCGGCCGCGAGACGTGTTTATTATTTTTCCACGGTGAGGTAGTATACGCGATACTGCCGACACACCCAAGAAAAACATCGAACAAAAAAAAACCGAACGTCGACAGCATAATAATAACGCAACGTTACAGCGCGACAGTGTAATATTGTTGTATACAGTTCCAATTTCACGTGCGTGGCAGACGTTGTGTGTGAAGAGTTGTTTTTACACACGGTTCTATGAAAGAGTGTACAATGCACACACACACGCACACACAAACACACACGCGCTTATATAAGTATTATATAGACGGGGAGGGGCGTTTTTTGGGGTAAGAGAAAAAACCGCACGATATAGATAAGAAAAAAAAAACCTCTGCAAGTCTTTTATGTGGTCTTAGCCTTTGATCTTTCGGAAACCTTATCGGTTTCCATTTCTCGAAGATCTCTCCTCCTGCACAGTTCCCTCGACCACCACCCCATTTTGGTTCTACCCTCTCCGCACACCACTAAAGCCGAAACCGCGCAGCCGAGCCTTCGTATTATGTGTAGTACCCGTGCGATTACCTGCCCATAACATTACGATGTCGTACTCCTATATAGGTACCGTCATCCGTCCGCCCATCGATGTGCGTATGTTTGTTTCACCACTGTTGAAAACAGCTATCATTACGGGGCATCTAATGTTTTTGTTGTCCTCGATGGCCTTTTATGATTTAAATACCATATTATACCTATATACGTACACGGGCATATATATAATATATATTATCATTTTTTTTTTGTCGTACGATGTGGTCGTGTCTGCGTGTCATCTGCCGCTCGATTTCGGATCGAAAATCCGTCTCCTTTTGTTGGGTGACGTTTTGTCCGCGACGTCGCGGTTTCCGCTTTGCTAACGACTCACAATGCTCGCTATATTATTATTATTATCATCAGCTGCCGCAGAATTCCACTACGCCCGTCCCTCCCTAGCTTTAAACAATATATTATCGTCGGGGCATATTTTCTGTGGTTTTTTTCTGAGTTTTTTCTATTTCTATATATTTGGTCTCGAACAATCGACCGCGATGGCGGTTTCCCGATCCGTAAACGAAGAGGATGAACGTACGAGTATTTATTGATATGTACCTAAGTATTATACTAAATATATAATATATCTTGGGCAGTGATTCCTGAAGATTGTCAACTGCGCGCGCAAGTCTCCACGGTTCCAAACGCAGCATACCTATCATATTATTATAGTATATATTATTTTATTTTATAAAATACAATTGAAAATGACATTTTTAGTAATAAGATCAAACATGCCCAATCTTTTTCCATTATATCATGTTTAATAACTTTTATTGAACGATTGAACTCGATATTCGGTACTGTTCTAGATAAATATTAAAATCTATTAGAAAAAAAAAAAAAAATACATTTTTAGCGTTAATGAACTTTGGCTGAACAAAGTTATAAAAATCAATCACCGCATTTATAAACACACAAAATAGTAAAATTTAAAAATATATAATTATCATTATTATATTTAATCAGGGCTTGCATTTGAAAAAAAAAATGTTTTACGTTATTAACAATTAAAACGGTATACAAATGTTGAGTTTATCGTTTTTTAGAATTTAAACATTATTCAACTTTTGCGTTTATCGTTATTCAGAATTATAATTTGTATTATATTTAATAGTTTATAACTATTAAATAATTGAAATTATTTTGTTTTTTAATGATATACTATATATAACGTTTTATTTGATTACATATATATTTTGTTAATCGTTATATTTTGTTTTGTGTTATTTAATTATTTATGTTTATCGTTTTCCGCTATAATTACGTTAACAAATTTTAATCGTTTTTTGTCAAATATTACTTTATAATCTTAACATTATTATAACGTTCGCAAGCCCGCTGTATATAAAATATAACTTTTTTTAGCAAAATAAATTATTGTTATTTTTTGTGAGAATTATGTTTCAAGTTTAAAAATGTTTTCGATGGGTAATTAAATAAAATTGCATCGTTGCACGTAAATTATTTTACAACCGTTGAGTTTTTGGGTATAATGTTATTTTTGAATTCTAAGTGTATGCAATCGTTCGGCCAAAAAAGTGGCACGTTCTCAGTCGTTTGATAATCATTATGTTATACCGCAACTGTATCCACGAAACATATCTAATTATATAATAATGATATTATGATGGTGAGCATTTATATTACGGTCAAGGCAGCGGTTTTGTCGTCGAAAGTTTTAAACAGCTCGAGCGTCTGCATCTAAAACACTGCGCAGACTATTTATTTTTTTTTTATCTCGTCACGTGAAAATAGATTACCGTGAAATCACCGAACGTGTTGTATAATAGGTACCGCTTCGACGACAACTTTATTGACTGTACAATTTATTAATTACAAAAGTTTGTGATGTGATGATAATATACAACATTATTGCTTATATAATATAATGATATAGTGTTTACGGTAGCAGCACATCCGATGACTTTCTGGACTCCGCGAAAATGATTATAATTTTAATAATATACAATATTCGTATACGGTCTATAGACGTTAAATGACAAGCGCAAAATTCACCGGAGTGAACATATTTTGATTTTTACAATTTGTCGATCGTATAGTGATTTTACTGAGAAAATTGCGTCGTTACAATTATGTCAGCCTATGTATATATTATATCGCATACGCTCAGTTAATATTAAACAATAAACAACTTTTAATTGTACGGCTTGCAGAAAATACTTCGTCTTATAATGGATGGTTATAAGCCTACTTTTTAAAGACCTTTAACGAGTAAACATGAGCTGCAGCCTATTAACATCTCCAAAACTTTTAAAGTTATCGTTCTTCGCGTTGTTGTTTAACGGTTGATTATTTGGCAAGAGTATTTAATCTAAAAAGTATCTTTTACAAAACGAACTCATTTTAAAAATTGTGTATTTTATTAAATACCGTGTAGACATGAAACGACTGTAACATAAACATTTAGTTAGGTAACTAAAGGTCTAAGCAGTTAATGTTTTATGAAAGATCAATAAAAAAAAAAAAAAAAAAAAATGGCGTAATTTTACCAAAGACATAATATTAATGTTTGTAATTGATTTTTACATTTAAAATACATTTTTAATTCAGGTGTTAGTTATTCAAAACACATTTGCCTTTCAATACTTCAACAATACACTGATTTCAATTGAAATCATTTTATTTCAAAACAATTTTGTCTGCATGAATAATATATTCAATATATTCAATATATTTTAATTGATTCGTGATTGTTCGCAGTACGTGACCAGTTGTCAATAACGTTGTTTTATGAAGTAAATAAGTTATAATCACTTTTTGAATATTATTGTACGTCTTCTATGTCATCGAATTTTAAATTTAACTGTTTTGTCGTTATTAACGATAACTTTAAAATTATACGTAAAAAAAAAAAAAAAAACAATTGTATTGCGTTTGTCGTACAAATTCGGAATTCCGTTGTAAACTATATTCACAACGACAACTTAAAAAGTCTGC